GTGGCGGGAAGCACTCATGGATGGCAGTGGCAGCAAAAGGAGCAGCAATCTGCAGAAACTGTGGCAGGAGACAGCCATCCCTGATGTTTTGTGAACACCTTGGAGGCCATGAGCAAAGCTGAGTTCAGCCGGGTAGAGTACACCTCCAGCATCAGTGGGTCTGACTGCTGAACATGACTACAAAGTGCAAGAGCACAAGACTTTTTCTGTCACGCAGAAGTCCACGTTCAAATAGAAATCACTTAAAACCCACCTAGAAGTCCTCTGGTGCACAGCACAGTTTAAGTCAGTGAAAGCTGGAGTAATTTATAATTTATAATTCGCTTGTGTGTGTTGTATTGCTTTCTGTCTGCTGCCTTATTAAACCGCCTGATGTCAAATAGGCCATGAAGTGACGAGAATAGTTTGTGCACAGATACTATGTCTATACATACACTCAAAAACTAACAAGTAAGCCTGTCTATCATGTCAAAAATATTTCTATTTTGGGCTGGGTTTGAAGCCTGCTTTTGTTGGTGAATGTTTTTTCTTTTATATGTAGTTTGCACAATTCAGGTTCCATTCCAGCAACAAACATGGCATTGAAAAGACTGATACTGCATGTTTGGGCAGCCTCTGAAATCCAATTTCTTTCAACTGATGATTTCCTTATTAGCTCCTCTTTGCTGGAGAGGATACACGCTCTCACAGCTCCTTCCTTGAACTAGCATTGAATGCATGGGACTAGTTTGGTCGGTCCCTTGCCTGATCATTTTTTCCACCAGCTCTATTTTCTTCTTGCCAAGGACCAAAGACCTGCATGGCTTTAGGTTCCTGCTGTTCCTTTTGATGTGTTCTTGTCATGTCTACCAACTGATCTGCCGCATCCCTCTAGCAGAATTTACGCCAAACGAGACACACAGGCTGAGGTACTACTTAAAGGATTTCTTGCATCCAGTGCATCTCTGCTGGTGAACTCCCCCAGGTGAGGGGCAGATGGATTAGACAGCAGCCACGTGAGGTTGTAGCCATGGTTTTGGTGCAGAAAACACAGCAAAACTCCCAGGAATTCTTCTGTTGGGTGTAGGCTACTGCTTCTTTCTGCAACAGTGCTGATGTGCCCTGGGCTACCCATGGTTTCTGTGAGACTTTTGTTCATTTGTTTTAATTTGTGTCTGGCTAAGAGGTGATGTGTGTGCTTGTGTGAAGGTATACACACCTGTCTGTCTGTATGCCTGTAAATGTATGGAGACACATCCGTGGTATAAGTAAAGAAGAACATCTTTGATTAATTTAATAGCAGACTGATTTTATCCTTCATGAAGCACATTACATTTATAACATGCTGTTCTTTTGGTTTTGAAGCTTTAAAAAGTTCATGATCTTAGTCTTTCCAGTACATGCCTTATTGTTCATGAGAGATCCACGTTTTTCAAACATTTTAGTTCTTGCAGGACTGGCTAATTTGAGTGGTTTAAACTCTTCTTTTTATTAGGAACTAAAAATAACTTCATATTAAGGCATTGATGGTAAATAAAGTGTATACTGTAAAAGTGACACTCCTAAATCTTGAAGACCTGACATCTGGATAAACAGCTGATGGATTTCCTGAAATCAACTGTCTAAAGTAGCAATCAGAAATTCAGTGGGGCAAATTTAATATTCAGAAGCAGAGGAAGCTCCTTCTCATCTTCAGATGGTTTTTGTTCAGTCTGTTCCTAAGCTTTGGGTTTTTTTACCTTACAGTCAAAAGCTTTGGCTCTGCAGAAGAGGAAGAAGCCAGAAGGAAGCAGTCAGAAGAGGATGAGCTGAAGGTGAAAAAGCTTGAAGAAAACATACACAGGTAGGGACAGTTTCTCTTTGCTTTGCCTAAGAACAGTCACTCCCATAAGGCTAGAGACCTACCTTGCCCAGGTCCCCATCTCTGGCAGCAGCTGATAGCAGGCACACATAGAGCCAAAGGTGCCCAGAATTTGTCTCCCAGGTGTCCATGGTTCGCATGGTAGAGCCATTGTGGCATCTTCATGTTTAATGGACTTTGATGCATTTCTCTTGTGAGGGAGCTAAAAAGAGGGCTGAGTCCCCCCTTCAGATGCACGTGTATGACTTGGTCAGCACTCAAGAGATTCTCCATTGCTTTACACCTCCTACAGCCAAAAGGAGTTGGAAGAGGGGTGGCACTCCTTTGCACTCACTTTTCACTGGTACAAGTGGCTTTTCAAAATGCAGCAGCAGATGCCACCAGCAGATCAAATGATCAAATATCTACTCGTTCAGAAGCAAGGTTTGGGTGTTAGAATTATTTCCTTTTATCAGTTTCCCATTGAAGTCTGAATCATGCGCGCAAGCACAGAGCAGCTGCAGTATCAAGATGTGCGTGAAAGGGTCTTGTGGCCACATGCTAGGTTTGTCCCTATTGGAAAATATGCAAAGTCTTTTAAATTTGGTCTAGGAGCAGGGTGGAGCTTATTTGTGAAGGCCAATGTCCAGCCTCTGCCAGCAGCAAGCACCCGTGCCCCTGCTTTAACCAGGGGGAATGTGCAGCCATCCCCTTCCCCATTGCAGCAGAACATCCATCGTCATCGCAGAGACCACCATTTCTTCTGCACACGCCGAAGCACTCAAGAAGGTCCCTTTCTCATACTTATGAGTATACTACACAAATAGCCATGGCACAAGAGAAATATCCATCTTTATTTGCAGGCCAGACGTAAACAGAAGGTCTGACAAGCTAAGTGAACTGCAACACTTAGACCAGAAAACTGAAGGAGACCGTGTTTGAGACCAGGCTAACCAGGCTGATAAATGAGGATGTGGGCTCATGTAAGTCTGTGCTGTCCAGAAGATGCAAATACCTCTAGATTAGGGAAACAGCATAACTAACTATGAGTTTGTAGATGGTCTTGAAGACCTTGCACATAACACAAATGCTTCAATTGAGTGTTGCTTTTTCTGATTCAGTTTTAAGTGACTTTTCCACTAAAATCAGACATTTTGCAAGATGTGCACACGTGCTTGAAGTGTTTATTCTTAAGCTAGTGTAACCAGTTCTCCTCTGTGTAGGAGGTGTTTAATTTCAACTACGGCAGCAAAAATGCATGAGTGTACAGACTGCTGTTTATTTATTAGAATTCCATTTTTTCATGATACAAGAAATCACATACTTTAGCTTGTAGCTTGCAAGGATATGTGCATATGAATAAACCTAGACATGAGTAAGTGTAATGATTTAATGAGTTCCCTCATCTGCAAAAGCATTTGGAAGAAGGATGCTTACATTAGTCAGCATTTCTGTATGCTTCATGGCAAGCAACTGAAAAAAATATTTGCATCACAAATGCAGAAATAAAGAACAGTCCATAGTAAAGAATGCAATACAAATAATTAAACAGTATCATGAAATTATGTTGATAATTACCAACAAGTGGACACAGAAATTCAAGATGCATATACAAGATAAAAAAAAACAGTGAGTGCAAGATTAAGACAAGGTGCAGGCGTATGAACAGTGTAACAGTGGATTACAGGCAGAATGGTCATTTAATTGTTGGGATTATTTTAGTATGTTCAGAGATTGTGAAATGTATGAACACTGGAAACAGTCTGTATCCAAGAATGTGAAGTGGAAGTAGAAGAATAAGCAGAGTTGAAGCAAGTTTGGTCCTGGACTCCCAATATTCCTGCTTGCCTAATTTGAGTCTTCAGAACAAGACTATGCTGCCCCATGTAAAAATCCTGGTATTGTGCCTTGCATTCCTTTAAAAAAGTGGTTGGCCTGGTAGTCTTAAGACTGGACTCCTTAGTCAACATCCATTGAGTCTTAAGCAGGCTGGAAATCTGTCGGCAGAGATAAGGATGGAAAGGCATTGCTGCATTCTTAAGTGTTTCAAACCTGGCTGCGAGATTTGTGGTGCCATTGTAACAATGGCAGAGCGGAGCCAGGCATGGATTCAGGATATCTCTCAGCATAAATAGTCCTTAGTCACAGAGGAGCTTTAAAGCTAGTTTAGTTTTTCGTGTTCTTCTAAAGATATTGGGTCAGTGTTAGAGGACAGCAGCCATTCCTGGGTTTCTTTTCCATTGTCACACAGTGAGAAAGCGACTTCCTTTTTTCTGCAGGAACCTTAGATTTGGAATAAATGATACCAAAGGAGTAAAAAATTAACAAAAAGCATTTCCCTTTCCTTAAACCTATTCTCCAAATCACAGACCTGAAACATATTGTTTGGGATTGCCCAGTGAACTTCCGCAAACATGTTTCTGATAGTGTGTTGTAGGTGAAAAAAGCACTAGAATGTGTTGCATGCCTCCCGTGGTTATTTTTACCGCATGACAGTTTGTTATTTTGCAGCAGTGAATGGAAAGTTGGCATTCGACATCTGGGTATTAACAGACAGCATTCATAGAATAGAGCAGCCCACCCACAGCCTGCTGTTCCTTCACAGCATTTGAAAAGCTCCCAACATTATTTTGTTTTACTAGATTACATTATAGTACATACTGGCGGCCTGTGTTTACTACAAAAGGTGAAAAGTTTTCATTGCTCTGAAGCCTTCAGGTAGCATGCCAACAAGAAATACTCTGTGACAACATATCTCCCTACTTGATGATGGACACTGCCATGAGATACCATGAGATGATGGACTTGTGCTCTTGGAGAAAAGAAACTGACTGAGCCAAACCCTCAGTAAAGCGGCATATCCCGTCAGTAATCAACAGTGCATCTGTTCGTCTTGGATGAGGAGGTGCCCATCAACTCCAAGGAGAGACAAATTATTGCTTTAGCAGAGCAGATGTTTTGGACATGTGGACCAGGCAGTCACCTTAGAGCTGTGGGTGCTGTATCCCCAAAAAGCACAGGCAAGAGACATTTGTGGCACTTTGGCACTGTGGCAGGTCTTGAGGGCGAATGAATGCAGAACAGTGGCCAAGATATATGTGTATCCCCTGTTCTTTACTCAGGGCTGCTCAGCTGTCAACACATACCAGCTCCTAACTTTTGCAAAAGCCCTTTAGAGTTGTGGAGTGTTTCACCCTCATGCACTCTTGTGGTGAGCTGCAGCTGTGTCACCTCTAGAAGAAGGCTCTTCCATGGTGGTGCAGCATGGAGGGAGAGCCCCAGTGTTAATGGTGGCAGGAGCAGGTCTGTGCTTTGGACCATAAGGTCATGAGCAATTTGCTGGGACAAGCACATGTCTTTGCTGGTTGCTGTTATGTTGCTGATGTGGGCAGGTGGTAAACACTTGCAAAAACTCCCTCTCTTCCAGCAGCTCCCATCTCAGAGTGCTGCTGTTCTTTTACACTTACAAAACCTCAGCAAGTATTTTAAAGAAGTGTTGAAATGAAAGATGCCTGTGAGAGGGACTGCAGGACAAGCACAGCTTCCATCCAAGAAAAGTACTTAACCTGATGGACCAAAAAATATTCTGAATGTATGTTTACACAAGAGAGATGACCGGTGGTGGAGGAAGACAGATGACACCACCTGTCTCAAGCAAAAAGTGCTTTGGTTGTGTGAGGCTCTCTGTTCTACTGTGCTCAGCTTATGTCTGTATGCCAGGTACTAGACAGAAGACATAATCTGGGTAAACACAGATCCAAAATGGAGTAAAACTTCTCCAAAGCTGGCAGAATTGTCTTCTTGTTCCGTTAGTGTAATTGAATCTTTCCAGGTAAATGGTCAGATTTGAGTATTGTCAGAGAGGTTGGGCTGGGCCCTTGAGAAGAAAACCTTCACCAAGCTGATTTGATATGCAGAAAACAAAATCTTATTAATCCATTATCTTACTAATTCACTGTCTTATTAATAGACTATGAGTGCTTCACAGATCCCTGATGTTAGATGGGGTCTACACTAAACGCTTTTCTCATTGCAGAGTCCAGCAAATACAGGCTCATGATTCAGCTGAGCTTGTCATGGCTGCTGCACCCTTAGCATTTTCTGTCTTCCTATGGACTATTCTTCCATTTCTTTCTGACACCAAGGTTTGTTTTCCGCTTCTTCTTCCCAGGCTAAAAACTTAGCATGCCTCAGCCTGGGAACTCTGGCTATAATTCAGTCTCTCTTGGGACTGTCACTAATAGTCTTTGCATGATGGAAGGAGAGCACGTAAGACAGATGTGAGTGCACTCCTTCAAAAGAAGGATCATCTGATGTCAGAACCAGCTGCTCAGACCTCCCCTACAGCAGACAGTACAAGCCAGGACCAGAGGAGCCATAAACCTCTCCTTAGCAAGGTTGCATCAATTTCCTTTCACTCTTAGCCTCCAGAGAGATACAAAGAGTTGCTGAAGCATATGCCACTGCAGAGAACAGTGTATCTTCCAAGTGCATGGTCCACATGGGCCTGAATGTTTTGCAGCTTCCACATTGGTGGCAGCTGGAGAAAATAATCAGGAATATTGTTTATTCAGCATTTTGGGGTTTTACCTAGAATTCCAGATGCAGCTGTAGACAGGCCCTTGATCTGCCTCCACATGCTGCCCATATGACCAGTTGCTTTGGGTGAACTCTCTAAGAGTGAAATTGCAAAAATATTGCCTCATAGCCTGGCAGTCCCTCCAAACTCTGCTCGCCTGATGAGGGAAGATCAAGCTTTCTGCACAGGAGCTTCAGTTCATCCCCAAGCCCTCTGGTTCTCCACTAAGGCTGATCAATATCAAGAAGCACAGATTCTGATTTCGGCAACCTCTAAGGACTGTGGTTTCCAAAACAGCACATCCTTCACCTCCAATAAAGCTTTTGCTGGGGTGCCTTTCATATGTGATACATTTCTTAGGAAAGCAGAAACCAAAACAAAACCAGGCAAAAAGCCTCAACAACAGGAAATCTCAGATTTCCAA